TCCTATTTACTTTTTTAGCAATTGTGCAAAAAGTAAATTTTGCAGGCAAATTTGCCTGCAAAACATATTAAGAGATAAGGTAGTATTGGTTGTAAATTAGATATTCAATTGTAATTTCGCTCATATAAATTGCTCTGTCTAAATTTAAGTAATAAAGTTGTGGTATAACTGCTTTAAAAAAAAATAATAAATAACTTGTAACCTATGGACCAGTAGGTTACAAGTTATTCTTTGTCAAATATTTGAAGATTTTCATAGTAATTTTCCAAATCCACCAATATGAATAACATAAAATATTATAAAATTTAGTTATTATTATAGTACCTGGCATACTTAAAAGATTTTGGCATGCCAAGTGGCATGCCATTTGTTCAAATTCATGCCCACCAACCAATTATAATATTGCTTATTTTTGTGTAACTAAATAGGCTTTTGGCATGCCACTTTGCCAGATACCCTAGTCATCTCCAAAATAGAAGTTAGCTCATGTACTGATTTAAACATCGATATTTGGCTGTTAATTGGAGTTGGATATGCCAGGCTGGATAGTAAAGTCCAAGTCCAGCCCAATAAAATTTGGACCAATTATTTAGGTCAGAACTAGTGTATAAAATTCAAACTTTGGTTAAATGAATAAAAATGAATATTGAATAAAATTTTATGTGCGCTATATACTGTATATAAATCTTTAAAATTTGTGTGCGAGAAGAAAGGGTCGTTAACACAGCAAATGATTGTAACTCGGATGTATCGATAGTTAAAATTTTTTTTTTTTTTGTTTTCTCGTAAAATTTAAAGTACTAAAACTCGTTTTTACAATCTATTTAATAAATTTATTTGTAAGTACCTTTATTGTATTATACAATATAAAAGTATAATTTTTTACAAACACATGAGTACAATAAATTAATAATAATTAATTAATTAGTCATCATCACTTAAAAAGTATTCTTCAATACTTTTTTTTAAATTCTCGCGTCCATTTCTTTTCTCAACATCTTCAGTAACATAAGGTGGCAGTGTAATCCCCTTTATGTCTCGCATGTTTACTCGACACGCATAACATAATAAATCTGTCAGGTTGCTAATATTGTGATCTTTGGATGTGCAGCAGTCTGAAGAGCAACAAGTAGCAGCACGTGAGCAAGTGTCTGAACTCTTACTAGAATATTCAGAAGTTGAATTTTGTGTCTTAGTCGTAGTAGATGACGAAGGAGTTGTCATTACTGTAATTCTGCTTTGCCAAATTTTGTTATCCTTTTGGTATGGCCTATATAAACGAGCACTGATGTTAAAGAAAAAATAAAATAAAATAAAATGGTGTAACATAATGCAATTAAAGATTTCACCAACATTAAGCAGATAATACAACGACTATCCGAATCAATAAATTCAGGTGGAGTTAATTTTGCAGCAGTTCTAGAAATAGTGCTCACAGTTGACGGAAAGTCACGCTCTAATTTTACGACAAATTCTAATGTATATAAAACATCGAAATTAATTAATAAAATTACTTATTACATTCATTTAGAATAAGGAACAAAAAATTTCACCTTCAGTTAATCGATCTATACTTGCTTTTTGCGGCATCATGGATGTGAGAGAGTTTGTGATAGTAGTCTCGAATCCTTGAAATTTATTGTATATACCGATTTCTTTAGATAGCATATCTTTCATTGGCCTCACGATTGTTACATCTTAAAAAAAAAAAATCGATATAAATATTTATGCACATATACATATACATATTTAAAAATTTTAAATACAAACTAATATGTATATTTACCTCCAAAACAAGAATTTAATCCCGAAATATCCAAAGGCAAACTAAATCCACGACCCTTACTTGTAAAAGATATGATTTTGATAGATAATCTTGTTGAACAATCACCCAACAACAATTTCGTACATCTAATAATTCGAGACGAAATAAATGATAGCAATGATTAAATAAAAAGTTCATATTAAATAAAAATATAAATGTAAATTGAAGATACCCATTCTTCCTTGCAGTATTTATTAGTAAACATTGTTTAAGATGCCACACAAAATCTTCTTTAGCGGTCAATTTAGACACACCATCAAGTAATGAATGTAATTTTTTTTTTGTAGAAATTTCTTGTTGACATATTTTAGCGTTAAGCTCTATTTAGATGTAACGAAAACGTTAATCCAGATCAAGTGATAATAAATAGGGAAAAAAATGTATGTACCATCAATTTCGTGCTGACTTGACTTATCTAAAGTGACTTCAAGAACTTTATTATATGCACCACTAGAAGTGTAGTCAGGAGAATATACATCATCTATGCGTAATCCAATAAACGGATAATTGTAATTTTGAGCAACTTGCTCAATTTGATTTAAAATCACATCCTTGAATTGAAGAAAATAGTAAAATGATTTAACCCACTTTATATATTGTATCTTACATGAAGAGAAAAAAACTTACATGATCATCACTGTCATCTAAATTGAAAATTGGACTTTCATCAATGTGACAAACCAAAACTTCAGAGAATAATGGTTTCTTAGATATTTCATTTGGTAAAACTTCATTATAATCGTTTAATAATTGAAGCATTGCTCTGCTCAAAAGTAATTAAAGAATATTTTGTATGTGATCAGTATATTGGACAGGAAAATAGCATATAGCACTTTAGAAATAAGAGTGTTGATTAAATTGAATTATTCACCTGGATGAAGGACCACCAGAAAACCCCACCAAAACCTTTTCACCTTGAGAATTTGCGGAACGTAATTTGTCCATATTTTTACGAAATTTGCCAACAAAAGCATGTTGGAAACATGGCCTTTTGTCAATTGTGCGAATGTTTCATTTTGTGTATTGATGAATAATGAATGTGGATTCTAATAATTCTTACTTGCAATATGTAGAATGCCGAATTAAAATTGTTGGCGTTGACTTGCATTTAATACATTTTTTGGTAATGGGTTTAATTTTGATTGCTGTAAACACAAATATCTTGTTAAACTTTGTGATGCATGAGAATTTAATTTAAATTGAAAAGGACTAACCTTCAATTTCGTTTGGCGCGTCCTCGATGCTGCACATGATACCAACTCGCTAAAAAGCAAACTATCGCTTTCGTCTGGTTTAAAAAAAAATTTCGAATTTATCTATTGTATGAGAACATGTGATCTTCGAATTGGGAAATGCTATGCAATTTCGATACAAGATCTAATTTCAAAGATACAGCTCCGGACGCATTTATTAAATACAATTTAATATATATCTTATACATCGATTAAAGCAGGATAGGACATTAATGAAACTATAATACTAATCTTAAATAAGATATAAATATAAAGTCTATTCTGATTTAAAACGCGCATCAAAGTGGAACTCGTCTTTTAGTAAGGGCAAACACAATTGGTTAACCCATCTTTATGTAAGGGCAGGGTAGAATCGCGCTAGAAACTCTAATTATCAACCAGTGGGTTGGTAAAATGGGATACTAACAAAATAATGTAAAAATAAATAAAAAATAAAGCCGTACACTTTAAGCAACAGCCAATATATTCATTTCACATTAAATATGATATCATCATGTTCTTTAACGATGTTAATATTTGAAAAAGTCACATTAAAATTAAAGAAAGGGAGATTGGAAAAATTCTGTGTCATTATAAACTTACGTCAGATCGGTCAATTTTATTATCTATTATGCACAGAAAAACGTTAAGCATACTGTGTCATATGTCGGGCGCAAGGACATGTCGATTAGGCATTTTATTCTTCATTCCTTCGCTACGCTCTAAAGTCCGGTATTAAAAATAGCTAGGATTTTACGGTACTTGATATTTTCCATACAAGCATGCAGTTATTTTTCACTACCAACCCTTTACAATCACCAAAAATCAGTATCTTGATTTTCAAAAAATTTATTAGTTTATTAAAGGTGAGTGTGAAAAATTGTATATTCTGCTTTTATTTTAATATATAAATTGACAAAAAGTAACAAATTATTCATCAAGTCGTAATTGCTACGAATTCTCTTCGTCACTTGTCTCTTCATCTGAAACGCTATCGAGATGGTCATCGTCTTCTTGGTCTTGGTTGCTAATCGACACCTCTCCTCCGCGTTCCAACTGACGTAAATATGTTCTCTTCTTTCGTTCTGGTAATGATGATAATATAGAATCGAGCTCTTGTTGTTCTTGTAACAATTCTTTATCACTTTTCACATCGCTAAAAATGAATAATGGTTAATTGTGTCTTCACATGTTATTAAATAATAATAAAAACAAACCTTGGTACAATATCCTCTGATCCTTGACATTTTGCACAAACACCCTTTTCTTTGGCACATTTATTACACAAGATATGATAGGCTTCTTTGACGGTTTTCTCTTCACAGCAAACACTTGATTTATAAAGTATAATTAACGGATTATGTTTTTTTAAACTTTACCATTTTAATCTCTGAAGTAACTTACCAACGCTTAGGTGTTTTCAATGATTTATATTTTTTAAATTTTTTACGCCACTCAATAATATCTTTACATCTTTTACATCTATATTATATTTATTTTTTATTAAAAGTTCAATTATTTTCAAATTGATTTTTTCTTATCAACTTACATTCCATTTATTGGTAATGAGTTAATTATTTTTGTTTTTTTTGAATTTTTGTTTGCACGGAAAGCATAAGCATTTTGATATTTCTGTGCACCCTTCTTTTTACCACTTGTTGACACTTTGATCATTATTACAGTATACCGATACTGTATTAGAGTTTTTAAATCTAAATCCAGAAATCCGGGAATCTATTAAATCTATTAAATGATCGGCAGATTTGTGCTAGGATGAAAATTGTCAACCGGGATCTCCTGTGTAACTTTGAATATTGGCCAGATAAATTTTGTATCAGATCAAAATTTAATATAGATACAATTGTTTTTAAATGATAAAATTTTTAAACAATTATTGGATCGAATTTAAAGTGGACCCACTTTGAGTTCAAAGTGGACTCACTTCGGGTTTAAAGTAGACCCACTTCAGGTTCAAAGTGGACCCACCAATGCTTAGATCCAATACAATAATTATTGATGTTAATGAACTGTTATTTCAAATGCACTAGATAGTGCTCTACACTCGCTGTTCCGAAACAATTGTAGAAAGATCCAATGAAGTGAGTAGTATTCGTGCTAAGAGCCTCAGCAGAAACTTTAATTTTTCTTTCAATGATTATTTTCTTTAGTAATAATATATATTCACAGATTTTTAATAATAAATGAATGCTTTACATTCATCCCTTCTAAATCCTGAAGTTATTTGTAACTAATATGTCCCATATCTGTAGATTTTTGAATTAACCATCATGACTTATATCTGCAAATTTTTAAATGGTTTATATTTATCATCCACTTCAGCATCGGCGTCGCGTTTATATTGTTTGTATTGTAGTCGTATTAAAGAGGATCGGCTTCAGCATCGGCGTCGCGTTTATATTATTTGTATTGTATTTATAGTAGTCGTAAAGAGGATCGGCTTCATCTTTACAGTAATAAATAAATACCTGCGTTCATTTTTTTCAACTTTTGATATACTGTATTGAGGATTTATGAATAATTTTGTAATATATGTTGTGAAGAGTGATTCTAAGTTGATAGTAGAGTATTTAAATTCTAATTTCGTTGATCTTGTTAATAAGAGTGTTGAATTAGTATGTATTGTAGTTCTCCAAATTCTTTTATAATTGATATGACTATACCTACAAGTTTTTGATAATAAATTTTTTCCATATCCGCAGATTTATAATAAATAATTCCTTACGTTCACCCTTTCCAACTTTAATTCCATATCTGATATCCACAGATTTTTGATAATAAGAATGCATTACATTCATCATTTCCAACTATTAAACGTTCCTTTAGTTATGATCCATACTAGCAGACTTCAATAATAAATATCCGCTAATGTTATAAATAGATGCTTTACGTCTTTCTTTTCCAACTCACATTTCATATCCGCAGATTTTTAATAATAAATGAAACTTTATAATCAACATTAAATGCTCTGATAACCCATATCAGCGGATTTCGATAATAATAAATGCCTTATTATATTCAATTCGTGTTTTTGATAACATAAATACTATTCATTCTTTTCAGCTCCAAGTTCACAATAACTAACGTATTATATCGTTCCATTAGCGCTCTGTATGATTCATTTGAGTGCCGCAAAGAGAAAGATTCAGGCTTTCCCTTTGCGGCACTCATTTATGATGAGATCAGGGATAAAATGGAGAAAACCGATGCTTTTATATATTCACCACTATTTATCATGTTAATTTAGCCAATCACAGCGATGCTCGGAAATTTACTATGTAAAAATTTTCGTCGATTGTCCAAGTCAAGTTCGACTGAAATTGCAACTCTGCAACTATAGTGAATATGTTCGAGCTACAATTTCAAATCACGTTATTAAAGTAACAACTAAGTCATTGACCTAATAATATTATACGAGCATCGTAGCGGACTAGGTAAATTTTGTTTTCAAACAACAAAATCATTTTTTATTTTAGGTGAAATGGGGATTGTCTTCAAAATATTGTTCTTTCGTTATGATATTCAGGATGAAAGTACATTTTCACGAGTATACACAATTTTAATTTTGGGCCTTCATAAAGTTACTTCTGGCAATCACATATCCTTAAGTGTTCACTAAGAAAATTCAAATTCTCGCATTTGACATTATTAAATATACTGAATGGATCTTATAGCAAAGCCGGGAACAGTAGAACATCATCAAATAGCATATGGCAGCGGCATATAGACGTCACTACCCAAACTTTATATGCGTGAGTACGTAGCCATACTTACGGCTGTGTCATTGAACAAAAAAAAAAAGCGAGATTACTAAAGTGAAAAGGCACTAGATATGTAGCAGTGCAAATTTTGCCCGCCTGATATTGATTAAGTATAAACGATACATGGTCTATTTAACCAAAAAAAATAAACATTTTGCAATATACTTTTATGAGATTATTCTGAATCTTTAAATGTATCCTTTAGCGGTTACAGTAAATTACTCTCAATACTTTGAAAGAATCCGCGTGTGAACCAAAGGACTTTATAAATTGATTTAACTTAATCTTCGCTTCGTAATACGTGGAAATTTTGATAAAATTTAATCAATCCACACCTGTTGGAAGCGTTAAAAATTAATCGCCTAATGCAGTCAATTACATTATTTCCAAATTTATTAATTTTTGTTTACCTCGTGATTCAATTGATAATCTTTAAAAAATTTTTCATATAAAAGCCTCCAAATCTTTCTCGCTATGCCTATTATGAAAGATTCCTAAGTTGGGTTCTTTCAATACAGCAATAGGTAAGTATGGTTGATCCTCCTTAAAATAAATCCCCAAGCAAATGTGTGTGCGTGCGTACGTACATAGTAAATTAAATGAGCTTAAAATTCGGTTTCCATAGATTTTATTAAATGTCCGGTTTATCTAGGTTCAGTTTAGAGAGTGTCAAATAGTTTAAATGTAAGTATAATCTAGTTTTACTTGCTTAGTAGCGGCCAGGCACCTTTTTAACTTATTTACTTTTGGGATTTTTTAAATTTTATCAGATCGTAATGCACAAGCCAGGTTGTATTATGAAATACCATTTTCTAAAATATTCTTCGAATGTTATCATTAGAGTTTGGAATCTGGTTTATTTTTTATATACTAAGCCCGGGTTTATCGGTTTTAGAATATGAAAAATAAAACCGCTTCCAAACTCTAGTCACCAGAAGGGTTTTAGTAAGAATCTCTCCTAATCGCCTATCCAAGGTCTCCTCTGGTTAAACAAAAAAAAAATTATCGCAGGTGACACATCGAACTACAGTTGTTAGACGAAACCTGAGGTTTCAGCTTTTTCAAAATTGAAGCTTTGTTTCGACTTTCAACTAAAATTCTTATATAAGGAACAATAGGAATTTTCGAAATTATCATTATTGTCGAAACTTTTAGATAGTTTCACTTTAGAAATGATAAGACAATGGTTCTCGCCTAATGACTATATCGAACATACGATATAATTGTAAATTCTTTAAATTTTTTGCCACTAATGAAAATCGTGACGAATCAAGACTTGTATGTCCGAGTAATTACTGTATTAGATTATTAATCTAACAAAATGCTCAAATCTCGATTTATATCAGGAGTACCTATTATGGATATGCGTAATATTCTATGTAAATACCTAGATAATTGTTATCAAATATTGTATTTAAATTGTATGATTTTTTCAATAAAATCAAATTTTGATTTTCTTTAAATAACACACTTCCAAACCAAAATTTTAGAATGCATTACAATCCAATCAATTGAATATATCTATCTAATGACACGTTGATAATTTGCCTATTTAAAAATACATTAATAATATCGATACAAATTTCGCGCCAAAAGTATTGTATTAAAGTATCTTAATGATGAAATAGTCTCAAATTAGTATGAATTAAAACCATGCCATGTTCATCAGCCGCTTGTATTACTGCTTGATCTTGTATAGAACCACTTGGAGCTGCAACGTAACCAGCTCCGGATTGATGAGCTCGATGAACATTGTCTGAAAAAGGAAAGAAAGCATCAGAGGAAAGCGCGACTCCTGAGAGTGATGCCAGATGTAATTTACGTTCTTCAGGCGTCAGAGGCTCGGGAATCGTATTGAATTGTGATTCCCAAGAAGTACGTTCTAGACCCTAAAAGTATAGATTTTTCAGTTAATTCATTTAGAATTTAATAACTGTAAGCAAGAATAAATGTATAAAGAAAAAAAAACCTCGCCAATTTTATCCAATATATATAGATCAATTGCATTACTCTTTTCAGCTCGCTTTGTTGATTTTTTAAAATCGAAAGTAATCACTTTGGGATGGTGACGAAGCCACCAGTTGTCGGCTTTTTCACCAGCTAATCGCGTACAGTGGATGCGTGATTGTTGCCCAGCACCAAGTCCAATCACCATGCCATTTTTAGCATAACATACAGAATTAGATTGTGTATATTTGAGAGCGATTGTGGCAACAATGAGATCGGTAATCGCTGAGTTCGGAAGCTGTGAAAAAAAAAAAAATGAAATTAAGTTTTTGATGGTAAATTCTTCTCGGTATTAAAATATTTAACTTACATTCTTATTTTTTGTTACAATATTTTCAAATAATTTTTGATCAATCTTAGCATTGTTACGCTTTTGTTGAAGATATAATCCGTAAACTTGACGGGTTTCTATTTCTGGAGGTTCATAATTGGGGTCAATCTACAATGTATAATTATATATTAGCAATATAAATAAGAAATAAAAAAAACCCCCGCTTTGCTTCTTCATGAATTCTAACCTGAATAACAGTATATTTTCCATCCTTCTTCTTACTTAAAATCTCAAGAGCTTGAGGATCATAACCAGGAGCGATGACACCATCAGACACCTAAACCATGTTATGAAATAAAAACTTCAATAATCGAAGAACGTATTTTATACAACTATAAATTGTGATAATACCTCACGTGAAATAATTTTAGCAGTAGGAACATCGACTATATCGCTCAAAGCGATCCAATCACCAAAAGAAGACATCCTATCTGCCCCTAATGACAGGTAATAAAGTCAGATTTATTCCTAACGAAGGTCACATTAAGCTTAAAATAATAATTCACCTCGAGCACGAGCATAAGCAGTAGCTAAAGGAGATAGCTCTTTAAGATCATCCACAAAATACACCTTTTTTTCAATCTCGTCCAATGGAAGTCCAACTGCAGCTCCAGCAGGAGACACATGTTTGAAAGAAGCAGCAGCAGGAAGATTGAGTGCAGCTTTAAGTTCCTAGTAGATAATTATATCCATAAATTTCTTAACAATAAATAAACCGATAGTAATAATGTGTTTATGAACTGAAGTCGAGTGCACAATACCTTTACTAGTGGCCAGCCATTTAACGCATCAAGAAGATTAATATAGCCTGGTGATCCGGATAGGACTATATAAAAAAGAAAAGGTTAAATTTTATACTTCCTATTACTACATATCTTGTTTATGTTTCTTTATTAGACAACTTAGTATATATCAATACCCTGTATAGGAAGACAACCATCTTTTACAAAGACTTGGGCAGGCTTTTGATGTGGATTGGCGCCGTAACGTAGAGTGAGTTGAGAAATATCTTTAGAATATTGTTGTCTAAAATAATTTGAAATTGCTTCATCGTAATCTGCAGTGTGATTGAAAGCCTGGAATTGAATTGAATACATTAATGTATTAGTAAATTATCATAAAATAATTAAACTTAAAATAATTTATTAACCTTCAACGCGAACAATCTACGCGAATTTTCGGATATACAACCATCCTTTTTTAATTCGGCTAAAAATTTTAGATAATCATTTGGATCGGAAAGAATAGTCACACGGTCATGGTTTTTTGCAGCGGCTCTCAAAAGCGTGACACCACCTATTATCTATGCATGTTTAGAGTCTGAAGAAACTTTATGTATAATCTGTGAGGAATATTCATAAAATTCTCACCAATATCAATTTCCTCTACAGCTTCGGCAATTGTAATTCCTTCCTTTGCAATTGTCTCCTTGAAAGGGTAAAGATTACAAATAACATAATCAATTTTCTGTATTTTCTGCGCGATTAGATCAGCTTCATCGCTTGGAATGTTGCGAGCGAGAATACCTATTCATATATAAAAAATCATTTGTTTGACGTATGGTGAAACTCTCACGTGATTAAGAACACATACCACCATGAATCACTGGATGCAAGGTCTTTACGCGTCCACCTAAAATTTCCGGTGCATTGGTTGCTTCGGATACATCCCTAAATCATTTTTTAGACAATTCGTCAAAATTCATCAAAAAAAAAAAAAATACATTTTTTCAATTCACATATGATAGTTTTAATTTACATTTATACCTACGAGATAGGAATTCCTGCTTCTCGAATTTTTTTGGCTGTCCCTCCTAAACCGATAAGCTTTACATTTAGGTCACTGAGTTCTTTCGCAAGTTCAATTAAACCAGACTTGTTATAAACCGATAGAATTGCTTTGGTATAAAGTGAATTAACAGTATAATGAACAATAGAATTCCTATTAATTCTGAGATACAACCGGCATTTATGCTGGACCTGAGCACTCCTTCGCTCAAAATGATTTTTTAACAGACTTACCAATTTTTTGTTCTGCCATTTTTTTTTCCTCGGTAAAACAAATTTAATCATTGGTGGCTTATTTAAATTATTTCTATTAATCTGATTATCCGCAGTCAGGGATTTTTCCATATTTGGTTTGTGTAACAGATTGCATTTTAGAATACTGAAGATCAGTTCCAGAATGATCTATAAAATTTTTCAGATTTTTATTGGCCCATAGTCATACTTTTTTAATCGAAAGTCT